ACTATTATTACAATTATCATATGTTATACTTGATTAACTTAAGTGCTAACAAAATCAACCAAAAACAAAAACAAAAGCAAACAATTAACAAAACACGGGCCAATAAAGCGTAGCATAGCAATCCGCATACCCTAAATGTATATGTATATATATACATATATTCGTATAAGAAAGAAACAAAACAATAACACAACATGCGACACTCAAGTAAATGTTAAATCAAAGATACTTTTTAGTACCGTAAGCGAGAAAACAATATAAAACGAAACAACAACAAATAAAAACAAAACAACAATTAGTTTTTAGGCATTAAACTATATTGTAGTTACAAATTTATGCAAATCTTGTTAACGGTTATTTTTTTTTTTGTTTATCGGATTTGAGGTTTTTTTTCTTAATTTTATTTTACTGTAAATTTGTTCTTAATTTTTAAATACGTTTATTTCTTGTCCTTTGTCAACTCACAAAAAAAAAAAAAAAACAATTGTTAAACGTTGATGGTTAACGGCGAATGCTAAAGAGAGAGAGAGAGAGAAGGAGAGAGAGATAGAAAGAAACTTTAGTTAAATTCAAATGTAAATACGAAACGCTTTGCGAGTTACGCTGCAATTTATTTACACACACACACACACTATATATATATATAGTTAATGTCACGCCCCGTAACAACCGCCCCTAGCCCCTGCCCCTGCCCCTGCCCCCGCTCCATCTGAGTGTCTACACTTCAAGTACCTTTCTAGCAAAAAGATATAAGATATAAATTTAAATTAAATAATTGAGAACAAGCAACAGAAATGTGAAGCACTTATTGCCAGTTAAATCTCAATTTAAATTGAACAATTTTGTTTATATGTATGTATGCGCATATATATATGTGTATATATGTATATATTTTGTATTTGCAGAATTGCAAAGAGAATGCACGCAGACAATCGCCTCGACTCGAGTTGTCGCTGCAAAGCTATTACAAAGTTCTATATATAGAATGCAGACACACACACACACACATACACACAAGTATATTTATGCATATGCATATATATATTTGATTATTGTTATAGTCAATATACAATAAACTTTGTAACTGAGCAAAAGCAAGAGACTTGTCTTATAAAATGTCCCACTTCCTATACCCTAGACCTATACACACTAACACACTCACACACTAACACACTAACACTACCACACACACACACACACACCTCTCCTCTATTACCTCTTACATATACATACATACATATATATACATATGTATAAAATTACCTATTATATATAATGACGTACGAACTAATATGAAATATCATCGTTTAAATTGATCAGTAAACAGTTTGTTAATGTTTTTTTTTTTCGCTATTACAAAATTTAAGAATATTAAAGAAAATTATCATACTATGAT